ATATAGGGTCCCTGTTTAGATTATACATTATGATCTGGAGTACTGTATAGTACACATTTAGTATAATTAACCGCAGGACGTGTTTTGAACACATTGATTAGCTTCATCTGGTCATCCCTTCACCTTTTAGTATTTTAGTATTAATTAAACAAAGTACATTGAATTTGTGCCTAGAAGTTTCAGGAAAGAAAGCCATGAACTTCAGTCATGCTTAGTAAGACTTGGGCTGACTATAATCTTCTGTACAATCTCTCCTAAGCAGTATACTGTCACCCTAACATGAGTCAAATTCTAAATTCAACCATTTTAAAGTAATAGGGATTAAATGGATACTATAGGCACCAAAACAACTTTAACTTAATGAAGCCATTTTGTGAATAGATCCCCGCAGTCCCACTGCTAAATTCTCTGCCATTTAGGAGTTAAATCAGTTTGATTTGGAAGTTCTAGTCACATCTCCTTGTATGTAACTTGCATAGCCTTCCTAAACACTTCCTGAAAAGTAACCTAAGTTCCTTTATTGCACAGTCTGTTCAATCTAGAATTTCTTATTTATTTCCCCTGCTCTGTTAATAGCCTCTTAGATCAAGGAGAGTAATTACATTTATAGAGCAGGAGAAAAGAACTTGTAAAGCAACTTAACATCTGATTGAAAATGAAACCATTAAAGCTAAAGTGATTTTGATGCCAGTAGAATCCCTTCAGGGAACCAGTGGAACTTTTTCCAGTTTCAAAAGTGACAATTGTAATAGAGTAGATTAGAAGGTTTTTAGCAATAAGGTTTACACACAATAGAGATCAGTTTTAAAATGATCTATGTGGCAAAGTTCTAAATGTGGAGCATTCATCATGAATAATCTGTGGATGTCCATGGCAACTGCTCAATTTGACCAGGAATGTTTTGCTATGGAAAGAAATAGCACAAGGCAGAAATCTATCTCTGTGCACACTGTGAAAAAAAAAAAAAAACTACCATCAAAAATAACAAATATCTGATGGGGAATTGTGAACTTGTATATGCTCACTTTATATAGTGCATATGGTTTTTAACACACACGATTATTAACCATTTATGACTCCTTAACAAACTCCTCTTATTTTCTTGCAATCTACGTAATAGCCAGTATATTAGGTGTAACAGAGAATATTTAATCAAGTGGACAAATTAAGTTGTTTGCATTCTTCACAAAACATTAATATTTGCCTTTGTAGTTTAGCAAGTGCATGCATAATGGAAGGAGTGAGATGAGCATGACCCACTTGAATCAGTATTGTTTTCTGAGACAGAGAGCTGCATTTATACCCACCCCCCCAACAAACTCTTCTTTTTCTCCATATACTGCCTACTGGAGTGTCAATCATGACTTGCACGCGTCGGGCACAAGACCAAATGAGGTCTCTCTGCCTTCTTCAGTCGCTGTCCATTTAGCGTTACATCCCACTGGTGCTGAAATGTGTCCACAGTCAATGGATTGTCTTCCCATGATTACTAAACCTTTTAATACATAAACCAAAATAACATCTAACATCACAAACATAACATAACCTATAAAAAAAATACAACTTAACATAGCATAATCTAGGATAATGTATATAACATAACATATTGGATAACTCACTAAATCCAAATAAAATATATTATCATCACCAAAATCTATTGGAATATATAGCGTAACAGAACACGTAACATAAACCATCATAAGATAACCCAGTATAAAATATGGAATAGCATAACACAATACTTAACCAATTTAATGTCTCAATTAGTAATGACTGAAATAGGACATCTCACCAGTGTTAAAACCTTTCTCTAACTCAAACAAACACTTTTGTATTTATCAATTAAATTGTGTTTTTTTCTTCAAAATAACATATTATACATGAATATATTAATATTATATCGGTATATAGGTATAGGATGTAAAGAATGATTGTTATATGCTATGTATACCCTTATTACTGCTTCCAATGTACACATTCTTAACTATTAGACGTCTCACACATTTATAGAATTCTTGCTCACCCATACACTCCCAAAGTCTTCATTTTATTTTAAAAATAATCTACCAATATGCAATATTACAATGCATCACTCTACGTCTGTCTGTCTGTCTGTCTGTCTATCTATCCAATGTTCTTTGTAATACAATGATATCATTTTGTTCTGTATAAACCTCTCTGTATTATTTCCCTTTATGTTGCTGTATACAGTCCCACACACTCTGTACTGCACTCAGATCATAGCATTCTCTGTGTATTGTAGTTTATCTCCTTATTTCCCAAACTCTATTATTAATACAAACACCCCAGTGCCCTGTTAATGGCTATTGCAGTTCAGTTGACACACTTAGCTCTGTGACCCAGCGAGCCACCCAATAACACACTGTGACTAGACAGCTTGACTGATGAAATAATAAGATTGTCCCAGTCTTTATTCCAGTGGCCGTTGGTTTCTGAAATCCGTCTCTCCCTTCTGTTTATCTATATTACCCCAGGGGTTTATTGTCTGCCCCCTCAATAAGGAGCACTGAGGACCCCTCTGTGTCCCGCACGCGTCAGTCCCCCTCCCCCAACCCCCTGCACTCGGGGGCCACATGCACATCGGACGCTCCTTCTGGTTACATTGTGGCATCATTTGAAAAATTCAGCTTGTTCCGTGTCACTTTGATAACAATAAATTGGCCCTTTGTCCTGTCCATCTGGGAATTAATCTGGACTCAGTGTCAATCTGGGGGCACGTTTAACCAATAACTCTTCTCCCTCAAAAATATCTATTTGCTGTAACCTCCTCTATAAATAATATCTTTCTGCATATTCTATAAATGTTGCAAATGTATCTATTTATTAAAAATAATATTAATAATAATATAACATATTAAGTATTAAGAATAAGTAGTAAAAGTTGAATATTATTATAGAACTATTAAACATTGTATCAAGGTGCCCCTATATTTGTGTTTAAATAATGGAACCATTCCTATATAATTCCCTTACCCAGGATCTAATAGGGTAAATAATATGGGTGCTCTAATGGCATTGCCATAAAAGTGAGGTGTAGATGTTATACTATAAATGGATATACAGGTGACTGCCTATCACTACATTCCTGGAACATTCTATACATTTCTTACATGTTCTATTGTTTTATTCTACTATCTAAACTGCTGAAGTCCATTTCCAGGTCTATATAACATCCTGACTACTGTGCAATTAATTCAGGCTGCTTATGAATATACAATTCAGAGACGGCGTATTATAATAATGGATTAATTAATGACATAAATAAATATTATAAAAATGCTTTGTGTTTCGTTTTTCGCTCTGTGTTGCCTGCTGGCCCTTAATCAGTTATCGGGTCTCAGTTTCCAAACTCCCATACTTCGCTCTCCACTCCCTCCACCCTACCCCCCTTCTCCATCCTTCCAGATTGTATTCCTGGTCCAGAGACCCTCAGAGATCACATTGCTCTGGCAGACCCAGGAGAACATCATGTGAGTACAGAGACTTCCTTATGTAATACTTCACTGGATTTTAATTGGGAATTGCGTGATGGGGGTTGCAGTCCAGCAGTAATATGGAGATAATAGTCTGTCCCAGCATGATGCTACTGAATTGAACCTATTTGATATTTTGAAATCAGAAAACTCAGAAATTAATACATCGTCATGTTTTAATGTTAATTCATAATTTAAATGAATCCTGGACATTTTTACAAGTAGGTAAAGACGAAAAATGAGGCAGTGCAGGAGCCAGAATCAAATAGTATTGTGATTAATATGATACAATAGCTAAGATTGTGTTGCTCTTTATTCGAGTGTAAGCTCTTGGGATCACGTTCTCTACTTTCTAAACTTGTGCATCACTGTGCACACTGCATATTGTCCAATGCGAGGTAATCGTTTGTTTTATTTGAAATTAAAATAATTATTTTCATCATTTTTATTATTGGAGTACAATCCACAGTCCAGATGATTCTACAATAAACACATATTTAAAAAAAATGACCTAATGAATCGAATAAACATGTAACCGAGGTCAGGTCCATGTACTTATCATATCACCAAGCACCTTCGGCATTTATATGAAAGAAGTAGTGTTTTAATTTCAGCAGCACAAATGAACGAATGAATGAATGAATGAATAAATGAACAAATAACTAAATAAGTAAAAGTGTCTTTTCTCCAGTATCCTAGGTTAGATTGCCAGTATATTCCCACTGTGCTTGTTTACTTTATGCTTTTACCATAATAGCAGGATTTCCTGATAACATTGTGTGCAATGATACTTTTTATTTATATTTATTTATTTAATTCCCCTATGAATGCTGTGAGTGTATTGGTAATCTTTCACAGGATCAAGTAATAACACAATATTTAAGATTGAAGGTATTATTTGATGTATTTATTTATTGTACTTGATGCCCAATATGGGTAAACTCTGTCCCTTATTACATCTTCCAGTTAGCCCCTCTGTAATACTCTGTAATGTGGGTCTCTGTGCACTGCAAGGGTTAACCCTCCCTGTGACCCTGCCTGAGCCCCCTGTACAGGATGCACGCGCCTGGGATCACCCAGCAGATGGGGGTGGGCTGTATAATGCGGTTTAATAGACCCTCAGTGAGCATTCCATCAGACACAGCGCTGGGAAGCCTCCTGTGCCAAGCTTACAGTCAGGACACGGCTTGCTCTTACTGTAACGGCTCTCAGAGGTTATTCACACATTGGGCATGTTTTCAAAGGGTTAGTACATTACAGAGACAGTGTCATCATAGCATTTAACCAAATAATACAACCCTTATTAAGGAGGTGTACTACTCTACAGATAGCTGAAGGCTTTTACTTTTACCAAACAGTGGAAAGCTGTATGTTTGTATTTTTATACCTCTGTTGGTCGGTTACTCTATCTCACTGTTGGTCTTTGTGTGCCTGAGTGTTCCTATCACATTGTTTCTACTCTCTCTCTTTGCCTTTTTGTGTCTGTTACTCTGTTTGTTATTGTCTGTGTGTGTCTGTCTTTGTCTCTTTCGTTGTCTCTTTGTGTGTGTGTGTGTGTATGTCTCTCTCTTTGTCTCTATTTCTCTCTCTTTGCTTCTTTGTGTCTGTTACTCTGTTTGTTATCTGTGTGTGTCTGTCTTTGTCTCTCTGTTGTGTCTGTGTATGTCTCTCTCTTTGTCCCTCTCTCTCTTTGTGTCTGTGACTGTTTTTGTCTGTGTGTGTGTGTTTCCCTCCCTCGTTGTGTCTGTGAGTGTGTATGTCTCTCTCCTTGTCTCTTTGTCTCTTTTCCTCTTTGTGTGTGTTACTCTTGGTTTGTCATTGTCTGTGTGTGTGTGTGTGTGTCTTTCTCTTTGTATCTCTCTGTCAGTCTGTTGGGGCACAATCCAGCTGGTTTCCATGGTGATTGCTCCACTTTTAGAAGTTTGCTCTAGAATCGCTCTGTATAAATACCCTCAAATAAAAATGGAACGTGCCCAGCACACGCCTCCCATCCCCCTCCACCAACGCTGACTCCCTAACCTCACCCAACATCCCAGGGGATCAGTGGAGCCCCCTCCCCAAACTCCATATCTAACCCCAGTGCCCCATCCTGGGCATCACGAACAGCTTCAATGGGAAAAACCGACTTATTTCCCTACAATCATTTTCTGAATGTCCTTTGTTTTCTTCTAGAGACGCTCAGCGTCTGATCGCCATCTGGGTGACAGTTACACTGGGCTCTCTGAATAATTAGGAAACATTTTCTCATGGTTATAAAGATAGGAGAGCCGTGAGAAGTTACCAATAGAGGCTCCTGCAGCCATTTTACACAGAGCTCACTATGCAGAGTATTAGTTATCCATATAGTCTGAATACTGGCAATATAATAATATTAAAATATTTAAATGGTCCTATATATATATATACTTTTTCCCTTTTCTTTTAATCTCGTTTTCATTACTTTTTCTCTTTACTATTTCTCTTTATATCTTTTTTTCTCATTGTATCTATTTCCTCTCTTGTTTATTTTGTCTTTTTACCTCTCTATTCTCTCTCCTATTCTGTTGCTATAGACCTGGTTACATTGTATCTGCTGGCGACGCGTGGAAGCTGTTTAATTGGCTACAGGTGGGTACACGCCCCTAGTGGCCAGCAGGTGGCATAACACGGGAGCTGCACGCGCCGGGGATGAGGCCAGGACAGATGGTGCTAGAGCATCATTAGTCGCTGTCCCCTCATCCCATTGACCCCTATGGTGCTGAAACCCTCTCCAGTGTCTCCTGCTAATTCTCATTATTTATCCTGTGCAGGCAGAGCTATGCACACAGTCATTCCTTCACACCCAGAGCAGATTGCAGACAGCTCAGCCTGTACCTTCTACGAGGAATTAAAAAAAAGAGCAGGTACCAGGTCAGAATAAACAGGCAGTGAAGATAAACAGAGGATAATTGAAAAAGGTGAGTGATAATAAAAGGGAAATAAATCAATAATGTATATAAATGAAAACACATGACATCTATTCATTGTGAAGTAATATATTATTATGATTTATAAGCACCAACAAGTGCCGCAGTGCTGTACATATAATATATCCTTCCCTGCTATGTAGCTCAGCGGAGTCTAGTAGTAATTATTATTCTAGTAATGCTTTATTCACTGGTGTTTGCTGTTTTAAGAAGATGCTCTCTGATCATGGAAGAACTATTTTTTGTTGTTGTTGTAATTGCACCACAATCCCTGTAGGGTCATTTTGAGATGGTGCACATTAAATGTAAGAGTTGGGATGATGTAGAGTGTTAGCACGAGGTCTTAGATGTGGTAAATATGGGTTTTATTCACTAAATAGTCAATTTTGTTGACTCCGCTCTACAAGACATGCCATAATAGTCAAGGTAATCGTACTAATAATTACTGTTAACTTCTCTGGCCACATTATATGGACCAGAATCTATTGTTTTAATAGAGCAATTAAAAATGAATTTGTCAAATTTATGCCAGTTTGGTAAGATGGAAAAATACATACATTTTACTGATTATTATATAGAACTTTCAGATTAAAGGATCACTATAGGGTCAGGAACACAAACATGTATTCCTGACCCTGTAGGTTTAAAACTACCATCTAGCCACCCTGGTCCCATCATGCCTCCCTAAATAAAGACATCTTACTGTATTCAAGTCTGGCTGAGACTGACAAAGAGGCACATCAGGGGCAGAGCCAGCATGATTCAAACACAGCCCTGGCCAATCAGCATCTCCTCATAGAGATGAATTGAATCAATGAATCTCTATGAGGAAAGTTCAGTGTCTGCATGCAGAGGGAGGAGATACTGAATGTTTGAATGCATTTTAGGCAGCCATGACCCAGGAAGGATCTCTAACAGCCATCTGAGGAGTGGCCAGTGAAGTTATCACTAGGCTGTAATGTAAACACTGCATTTTCTCTGAAAAGACAGTGTTTACAGCAAAAAGCCTGAAGGTAATGATTCTACTCACCAGAACAAATTCAATAAGCTGTCGCCGTTATAGTGTCCCTTTAAATAATAATAATATAAGGGCAAGTTGCATGATCAACACATACTTACAATCTCCAACATGGTTAGTAACTAAACTGGGAATTTGAGTAAAATTAGATAATTGGAAAAATTGACCATCTCCATATGTGTTGCTGGAAAAAAAATCTTTTACTATCTATTTGTTGGAATCAGGAAAAAAAAAACTCCACTTGGACAAAAAAACAAAACAAACCCACCGAGTCAACACAGTACAACAAATACACGAAACATGTGAAACATTATATGATGTTGGCTGGGCCATATGAACTTGCATGTTCTTATCAAACAAAACATTTGTACATGTGTGTGTACATTACAAGGTGTTATGGGAAATCGGGAGAAAAAAATTAGATTAATTGAAATGACATATATTGATGTCAAATATCGAGAAATTCCCAATACCAGATTGATTGATCTGTATGTATATTAATAAAATGAATTGTTTTGTAGTGGTCTCTTTAATACACACTTCATGTACAATACAGGAGAAGAGACACATACCTCTTCAGTACAGCTGC